AAGAGGAGTGTATCACACCAGATGGGCATGGTGTGACCACACCCAAACAAGAACACGGTACGAAGCTGGATAGCCAGTAGTTATAAATGTATTTAGATTATACTATACATATTTTTAGAAATTTATGCATTTAAAATTTGGTGGCATTGCCGCAGATAAAAATAACTAAAGTTAGTTTTGGATTTAAACGTAAGAGTTTATTAGCCTTGGGTTAAGGTTGTAAATACTCTTGGAGTAAGCGGATTACGATCCACTAAACTCGCACTTGTTCTAAGTATAGAACGAAAGGTCGGTGACCAAACATACGCTTCCTCTAAGCGCAAAGCATCGACAGATCCGCTGCAGCAAACATGAATGTTGTGCGCAGCTAATGCAAGGGTGAAAGAGACTTTATGGACATCTAAGCCTCGAAATCGTTTTGTGATTGCTTCATTGTTTCATTAGATATTGAGATTGCGTTTGTGGCATGACTGTGTAGTCTACCGGAACGCAGCAGACATGTACAGACTATGCGCAACTGGTGTGACGGACCTTGGTGATTCATACAAAGGCCTTTCGCCTCCCTTACTCATTCATGACGTCTGCCTCTGGTGTTGTATCTTCCTCAGTGGTTTGTGGAGCTATAAGATAAAAAACTGTATAAATGGGAAAACGACGGTGTATTGGGTGCCGTGCAGGCTGCTCTGTATTTTGCAGTTGGCATTTAAACTTTCGACCAGTGGGTACTCGCAGATATTCCACTGAGAGTTCTCTGTTTTCATCTAAGACTATACGATTGTGAGCTCAGTCAGTTTTCATTTTTGTAGCGGAAAGGCTAGCAGTGTGACTACTTGCGATATGGTGTACGTCACATGATACTGTTGTTCCTTAAGACTCAATATGATGCTAAGACTACCATGAAGTAATTTGATAGACAAACAATGCCGAGCACCTGGTGATACACAAACCCCTGGTGATTTAATTAGAATTTACAACATATACAATCACAGAAGTGCGGGATGGGAATAATGGCTGTTTTATACTCGGACTGCTGGCCTCATGCAAAACTTTTTGATACGGTATTAATTTGATTGACTGTCAAACCATTATTAACGTAATTTACAATTGGCAAACACAAATCATACATTTTACTCCCTTTGAATACGAGCAAGTAAGTACTTGGTGCTTGAGAGGCACTCGAATTATCGCTTTTAGGGCTGGTTTGCGTACCGATTCTTCGTACACGATTAACGTGAACTCGAAATCGTAGATTCTTCTGTCAGGATGTGCGGTTAGCCGGCTGCGCCTCATATATTAACGACCGAGTCTGACACAGACTGCATCCTTTGTAACCAAGGAACATGATACTCCATCCTGCACAAACATCTATCTCTGATCGATCCTGAATAAATCGCTCGTTGGAGGTACAATGCTTAGTAGCTCCTATCCCTCGTAAAAGTGCAACAAATTGATTTTAAAAAAATGCATTAGTTTGGCATTTTAGGAACATCTTACCTAAAGGGACTTGCTGAATAGGACGACCTTTGTGTCCTCTTCTTTGATGGTTGAGAGGTACGAAGGGTCGACTCTCTGCACAATGATGATCTGCAGACCCTTGCCCAAAAAGCGTACAGTTTGATTGAGAGCAGGATGGTGTACTAAGAAGGAGTTTACTTCAATTGTGTTTTGGTGAGGCAGACTTCGATGATGTTCAGCTCCATAAAAAACAACACTCTAAAGCACGCTTCCTATTGTTGATTAATAAAATTGATTTCTAAACTATATGAAGTATGTAAGGTTGTAATGGGTTCATGAGCATAACACAATTAAGAAAGCACGTGAACGCAGTCAAAGTACGCGTAGGTATCAAAACAAAGGGGTGCGAATTCCATGTCTGTGCGTCTCACGATCGCGACATTGGTGCAACTAGCGAAGATTCTTACAGACTCTCCTGTAAGCTCGACTTTGACAGCTTGAAGTATCGCGTCATGCAGAATCTGGGCTGGAGATATAAATTCTTTTTTTTGACCTGCCTGAAACTTAATGAGCTTTGGATTGTCTGAAAGGCAAATACATGTATACACGCAACATGCTACTTATTAAACTTGCTGGATGATTCATCATATTGTGCTAAAATGAAAATGAGCATTTGGAGACGCTGAGTTCGCCCACTGCCAAACTTCGTGATTGTACAAGAGATATCAGCCATTGCAAAGCGTTTGAACAAATATCGAAAGGAAAAGTCGCTGTTAGTCGCGATTTCAGATGAGACAAATATAGTAAATATATGTCGCGGTCTCTAGATTTAATCTCACTTAAGTCTGATAATCGATCTGTGAGCTGTGGTCCTTGGCTGGTGGTTTGAAACGTTCGACTTGGTACCGCTGGTTTTACAGGTCAATCCTGGGAAAACTTGATAGTGGCGTGGTAGCTCCATTGAAGACGAGCGATTTTAGCGCGAAGTAAAAAGCCTGGTGGTTTAACGATTAATATTTTTCATTTTCTGTCATGTTAGCATAGTGTTTCTTCTTCTTTGAATAATGCAGATTACTTTCCATTGCGTCAAATACGCAATCTGATAATCATCAGTCTTGCTACGGAGCCAGGCTAATAATAGCACATCAATTATTTAGTATCGACGAAAAGGTGCTAGAGGACGCGAGGACGGATGAGATCCTTCAAGAAATGGTTTAAAAGCTGTAGAGGTAAAACTGCATTGTTTATCGCATACTTATATGAGTGTTAACATGAAACATCCGTACCGTGGTCGCTCTAGGTATATGTCACGGAGAGTATCCTTTACAAGTAGCAAGCGCGTTTCACTTGATTATCAGTCACGGATGATTTGCTACGCCTATAACCATTTGGAACCAAGCGCTTTAATGACATTCGCCAGAAATTTTTTTGTACATTCCAGATCTCGATACAAAACAATTTCAGTAGACAAGCTACGAAGACGTCCGAATTCGCCCGATAACAGCCTTGCTGTATCTTCATCGGTGATGGTGTCGCTGAGCGCAAAGAAGGTATTTATCTGAGAAATCATTAGGGAAGAGAGGACCCGAAAAATTATATATGCAACTGGACTGCTAACACTTTTGAGGGATTGGGCTGACTGGACCAAGGCGACGCACATGATGATAATTGTTTTTGAAATAGTCACATATTCGTACCTTAGCAGCTACAAATGTTATATGTGGGGCATCGGTACGTAGAGTTTACTTTGTCGAATTCATAAATCCTACTGGGTGATCCCTAAAATTAATCCTTTGTCGAAAACAAAATTCTGTGTATACGATCTTTATGTCGAGGTGCTACCTTACGTTGTGCGTCGGTCGGGTCATTTTGGCAAAACAGTAACGTTAGGATTAGGATTGCAGTGTGAAATTGCTTATAAGCGTTTAGATGAAGTGACATCACTCTTTAAGTTCCCCTTGCGAATCTGGCTCAACCGCGGACAAAAAGAGAAATCTAGTCTCGGCGACGCAAAAGCGCACCCACCATCAAGTCGACCAAGCTCAATACTTTACCCCAAACGTACACTCGCGAAACCGGATTACTGTCTTGCTAAATTGGATGGCAATGTGGCGACGATCTCGCTGTGCGTTAGACCGTATGACCTTAAAAGGCTGGAAATACCTTTGAACTTAAATCTTGAAGCCATACTTTAATGAGTAGCTCCTTGTCATATTCATTTTGCGGCGAAATTCAAACGGAACCCCGCTATTCTGTTTAATGAAATTTGCTTAAAGTATAGCGCAGGCTGTGGCAAAGGCTGAAGGCTCTCACGGATGAGATGAAAATCCGATTCGCATTATATAATACAATTTTATGGTACCATGTGGCTTTTAAACTTCCTTGATAGAACGTTTTTCCTGCATTCAAACATTTTTAAGAGATATGTAGAGCTATTTTCTGTTGGCATAGTTTGTACATTTTGAAGAGATAGGTAGAGTTGACATTATTTGTTGTAAGAAATCGGCCAACCCAAAGCACCTCTCTAATTTCGTTCGGTATGGTGGCAAAGGCCGATCCACTATGATTTGAATCTATTTAAAACTTCTGGAAGAGCATGCTACCCGTTAAATTATTCAAGAAACATTATTTCGTGAGCGCCAAAAGCACACTGGTCTACATTTGCAAAAAGCTACTAAAGACGCTTGTTCTGGAGATACGTCCAATGTGAATGACCATACCCAACTTCCCAGCATTCGAAAGTCTTTGGTTGGATGCATATTATTATTTGTAATGCGTTAACAAGCTTATAAGGCATAGCAAGTCACTCCGAGAGCATTCCACTCCGAGTGAGAAATAGATCGTTGTTTCGTATGAGCGATTGGTTATACCAACTGACCAGATCAGGCGCACTGAACAGGGTGCGAACGACCATACTGTTTTGCAGAACATCCTATCGAGAATTCGAAGTTTGCGCCGGAATGTTGGTTGCGTTCAGCACATCCTAAAGGTTTACCACTTTAGTGGCTTTCTTAACACAGAAAGTTGGCGTTGCGAGGTAATGTACTCGCTCACACTTAACTTGCTTCACGCTTTGCACGAGATCACAAATGTCTATTACAGTGATTTGCTCCCTTAGTAAGGGTCGTCATTGTGTTAAGCAGTAATTGGTTTCAGAAGTCAGGCCCCTTTCATGTTGCACTCTATGATCTTGGGGTATACCCGGGGCGGAGCTTTTGTAATCATCTCATGTTGTCACAACAACCTGTATAAGAACTTTCATAGGAAGCACATGAATACCTGCTTGTTAAGTGCTTTATAGATGTCCTCAATGATAGACTTATCCGGGAAGGCTGTGAGCTCAGCTCTTCCTCGCTAACAGCAATATCAGCTCCGTGATTTCACAGTCTTGTTTTTCCTTCACGCAACCCTGCTTTATCCATAAAAATATCAATGTTCATGGAGTTGTCCTCTTACGAATCATCGAGGGCATTTACAAAAATTTACGTTAAGGCTAATCGTATTACATAGCGACCACATTAGTAAAAGTTTTCCTCATACTCAGTCTATACGAATCCTTGTTTAGGGCTAATAAACTTTCCTGTGGTCTCCTTTGGTGCCCCGATTGCTTTCAGTCCGAAGCTCGCCATCTTGACAGACGCGCAGCGTTTATCAGATGTAGTCCTTTGATGATCACGTGAAAAGATTTCTGTGTGAGTTCTTAATCTGACTTAATTAATGAAACAGACGGCACTTCTATGCCAGTTAAACCAATATTTTTCGTATCCTCAAATCGGATTAGATTTTGTGTTGTTAAGCTAAGTCCTGCGACGAAGCTTATGACATACGCCTCACCTAAGATACCGTCAACTTCATACATCGTGTACTCCATATTTATCTTTTTTCAACAAAGACTCACAAATATCCTCATCAAGGCTAGAAGTATTATATAGAAACCAGAAGAGTAGACATCACCTAGTGCTATGCCGTTACAGATTACTTGTTTGAGCTGATCAATCAGCCGCGTACGACAAAGAGGCTGCGGCAACTCGATAACCAATGGATTTGGACTCGTGGTCTTGACAAACGCACGTGTGAATCATGTGTGGCTCAATAAAACAGTTATCCAGCCAGAATATTTGGTTTGTTACTCTCCAAGGCAATCTGAAAGGCCAACAAGTAAGATCTTTTTCGTGACACTCACATCACATTAGCTCCCATTTTGTCAAACAAGCTCTGCGAAATGACGCATCATAAGAGGCCAAGTGTAAATAATGATGATACGGCGGAAACTAAGCATGCGCAAAAGCGGAAAGGGCAGCACTTAACCATTACATAAAGGTACATTTGTACCTTTTGTATGCATTGTGGGAACTAATAAAAAAAGGTTACAGTATGGTATTCTCCATTGCATATGTGGTTTCTTATATGAAGTCACAAACATTCTGTGCGATACAGAATGCTGGTTTCTACTTTCAGATCTGTACTGGTGACGAGATCGAGATGTCTCTGTCTGTAGGAGTGGGTGACGTGAGCCAGTCACTTCTAAGGGATACGGTTCAAAAAAATTGAAGCTCAAGCTTTCAAGTGCAAGGTCTGTAAACCAAATATCTTGAATCTGTTGAATCCGAGATTTAATCTCAGTTGACCCTTGATTGTTAGATCAGGCACCCAGGTATATCAGTAAAATCTCTAGGAGCATTTGGGGTGTTTGTATTTAGCTAGGAGCCATTATTCATTTTATTTCATTTGCAAATTTGCCCTTATGAGTTTACCTCGTTCTTCTTCCCTCCAAGTTGTGACTGTCCTTCTCCTTCCACGTTGGGAATCGCTTTCTCGTCGCAGAAGCGTGTGTGTTGTGTCTGAGATACTGTTCATGAACAGCGCCAACTTTCATCTGGTTGCACTCCGAGCGGCCTTTTCAATGACACTCGATTTTTGTTTGACGACACGGTTGTTAAGCACGTCGCGCATTATAGTCCAGGCCATACTCTTATCCTTGCCGAGCGACATGGAAGAAGTTTGGGCACCCTTCTGTCCATCGGTACCGCAAACGGAGGTATTGACAAATGAGAAAATGCCTCATTTTCTTTCGCATGGGTGAATGGCACTTGAGCGGAAGCAAGAAGGCACCGGAGAAGCTGCAGTAGTCAGTTTACTGCCGTCGTCTTCTCTGGATGACCAGAAGAACACAGCTGTCATTTTCATGCATCATGAGGATATGGATATATTGGAAGTAGGTCGAAATTCCTGTTTCCTCCTACAGAACGATGCATTTGAACAGAGAACATGACCTTGTACCGTGGTGGAGAGAATGAGCCTCTCTCACGATGGTTTGTTGAGTTGGATGAAGCAATCACTACAAGACAACTACTTGCCCCTTGCAGCAAGTGTTGTTCGCGATGCCCAACCTTGCGGGTCGTGCGAAGTTGGGCGTATGGAAAGCATTTATCCAATCTAAGCTGCTTTTACAGCTACGAACACTTCAAAATCGCTCAAGAAGGTGTTTAAACCACCACAGAGTGAGCTCCGTGCCCTTGTCAAGATCTTGAAGATTTGTCAAGGTCGTCCCTACGACGTCCACTCGTGTGTTCAGCGTAGTCGCTACCCAAGTAGCGAGTGTTGTCGACGAGCCAATTGACTTATCATCGCAAGTTGAAACGTTCATGGCAGGCTTGTATGATGGTCTAATCCGGAACCAACTGCTCCGTGAAAAAGCCAAGACGCTGGACGATGCCATCAACCGAGCGAAGCAAGAAGCGTTCAGAGTAAAGCTGCCAAGTTCAATAGCTTCGTACCAGGACAAGCACGCCATCCGGCCGGTAAAAGTAATGGTCGAGCGCCAATCAATCTCGTACATTCCTCGCCTGGAAATGAGCGTCCTCGTAACGATATAAAGTTCTTTTGTTGCGGGAAGCCGGGTCATATTGCCCGGAACTGCAGACTGTCTTTGCCAAGTCGGCAACAGACACCGGGTGCTTGTTCGGATAAGTGCAAATGCTATTAAGGTTGTCGGTTCGAACGCTTCCAAGGGTCAAAAATGGGAACGACTCGGAGGGGCGAGATCTCTAGTGCGCCGAAAAAGAGTACTATGAACAATTGTCCAAGAAGTCTTTCCAGATTGTTTTGAGAGACCACTACAAGCTTTGATTGACGCTGGTGCGTCGAGCAACTTTGTTCGAGTGCAAGTTCAGACTGGGCATGGTGTTAGCCTGTCCTATGTGAAATACAAATGATATTTCGTTTAGCAAATGGGTCTAGAATGAAGATGCCAAATCAAGTCACTTGCTCAGCAATGAAGTTTGTGAATTTCCGATGTGAAGATGTATTTATCCTACTCGACCTCGATGATAAGTTTGATATCATCCTAGGCATACCATTATTGAAGCATATTCACCTAGCATTGACTTGATGAATATGAAGATCGCCGTCAACAAGTCGTGCAGCACTAATTCGAGGTGCACGGTGACGACAGAAATGGCTCGGGCATATGCATCTGATGAAGAAACCACAGACTCCCTAGTGACATTGTGGTATGCGATGGTCCCCAAATTTCACGGGACAAGCCCAAGAAGATCGAAAGTAGACACACCAAATGGAGGTGGTGCTGTCAGGCGCCACAAAAACACTGTCTCATTTGCTATCGACATGGTCGATTGTATTATGAAATATAATGGGATTAGAGGCGAATATCTTAGCCAATGCGTTGCCTTCACGTCCGTACCTATGATCTAGAGTCCAGGAGCGAAAACATGCATGAGTCATGTCGACAATGCGAAGATGATCAGACGATCTGAGTGCACGCAATGACAACAGTGTGCAAAGAAAATGTCGAAGGGTACAAGTCTGATGAAACATGTATGGACTTGTTGAGGAATTTCAAGGACCCGTCAGATAAAGCATTGCAAGATCTTCTGTTTCGCAAAAGATCGTGTGTTCACCGTTTTGGAGTACTCGGCAAATTGTTGTACTTTGCGGTTGAACTCGGAAATCCAGCAAGCTCCGATGACAAAGATTTGCTTCATTGTCTCTTTCATGAGTAATTTGACAGCCCTTCGGATGGACTGCCAACTGACAGCAGAAATTTTGTGAGTATGGACTTCATATTCGGACTTCCGAGCGACACGCATGGAAGCAGTGGCATCCTTGTGTTAGTGGACCGATTCAGCAAGATGATAATTTGCGCCTGTTTCAGATAAGAGCTCTGCCAAGAAAACAGCTAAGGTCTTTGTAGAGTAGACGTTGTGTTTTGTTTGCATGGCCTTACAGTGCGATCGTGCCTGACCGTGACACACGTTTTACATCGAAGTTTTGGTGTGCACTTTTTGGACTATTGGACACAAACCAATCAAAGTCAACAGCGGCACACCATGAAACGGACGGTCAATTAGAGCATGTAAATCGAATTCTGGAGGACGTACTGCGTAGTTAAGCACGTCGTTCAAAAGTGGAGTGAGTTTCTCCCTCATGCAGAGTTTGCGATAAACAACTCCACGCTTGCCTTGACATGTCATTCGTAATTTAATGTAAGCTAAGGTATTTTTTTCTAGAATTCCTGCTTCCAGAATGGGCGAGGTCTCTACCTCAAGTGGAGGAGGAACTATGGCTACAGAGTCACAGTCAACCCTTTATTCTATCACAGAGTCAAAAGCAAATTTTGACTTAATGAGACCTCTGGTCGACATGACAAGTCGTGGGGAAAAGCACGTCGATGGCTTTATTGTGAAATATCAAGCCGTTGTTCGGTTTGCTCAAAAAGCTATCGCGAAAGCTCAGGGTCTGCAAACAGAACAGACAGAGAAGAGCGAAGCAAATAACAAGATGCTATATAAGGTCAATGATCTTGTACTGCTTAGCACGACAAAATCTTCCCGAACATGCAGTGTCCAACTTGGGAAGCAGGAAGCTTTTATTAAAATATATTGAGCCGTTCAAGGCGTTAAAATGCAATGGTGATGTGTATACATTAGCCATCCCTACAAGCATGCGCATACATCCTAAATTCTATGTGGGTAGGCTAGTGGATCTGACGGTCCTACTCTACTTTTGGTAGATGGTCGAGCTGAAGATGAAGGTTCTTCGTTTGTCAACAAGAGTATCCAACTCAGCACCTTGGAGAATCATCTCGGCGTACAAGATTTGAAGGGCATTGATAGATTGCTCCTTCACTTATTCCAACGCTTGAAGGCGAGAATAGTACTCACCACGAAGTACTTCGCGAAAAGAAACTGCCTCTTGAACAGAGAGCGCAACAGGGATTCGTGAGCCACCTCACAAGAGTTTTCGCCCTTTCGAGGTCGAATAAGTTTATCATGAACCGGTTGCTCAAAACGGGACTCCAAAGCTGAGCATCGAGCGGGACCACCAGTCAAAACGTCGAATTTCGAGTTCTACTCATCAACAAGGTTTGGAAGGCTCTCGCATCGATCTTCACGTGTCAAGCAAAGCTGCTGTAATGCCTCAATCTGCCCGCAATGAGCGCTCTTCCCCCTCCAAAGCAGCTCAATAGTTTTCATGTTCAACCCAAACTCCGCTATTAGACTTTCGCGGAGAGCGTCATCGATTGACTCGTTTTTTATCGTGGAAAAAAGTAGTTGATACATCAACGCTTCTACAAAGTTCGGTAGCGCGGCTATCGATCGGTCTCGGACACGTGAGAACTTCGTCAAGCCTGAGAGTCTGATTTCCCAACGTGGTCCGCAGCTACGAAAATCGCTTGTAGTTTTGCAAGAGTCAACAATACGACAACCAGTGCTTGGTTGTGCTCGGTCGTGGTTGGAAGTACTGCCACTGTCGACTCGGCAAAGCAGACGCTCCATTTTGTTTTTGTTCTTAAGGCGAAAATATGTCCGCCAAGATTCAAGCTTAGCTGCGATGGGCCGGGTCGGATCATCACGGTTGATCCGACGCCAACGAAAGAAGCGTTCCATGTAGAACCTCTTGCCTACATTTCGGTTGAGAATGGAGGAAACATCAAAATTTCTAGAGCCGTTTTTCGCGGTTTGGGTGAAAACTGCTCTTTCATGTTGGCTTGTTTACTGGATCGCATCATTGTTGATCGAAGAGTGAGCTGCTCCAAAAGGTCTTTCAAAAGTATCTAAGTACTGTTGACTTAAAAAAGGAAATGAGGTTATGTGCAACACTTGGCCATTACATGAAGGTACATTAATGTACCTTTTGTATGCATGGTAGTTATTAAAAGATGAATGTTACAGTATGGTGTTCCCAAATGCATACGTGATTTCTTATATGGAGTCACAAACATTCTGTGCGGTACAAAGTGCTGGTTTTTACTTGGGGGTATGTACTGGTGACGAGATCGAAGTGTCTCTGTCTTAAGTCCCTTCTACTGATTACTTTTCACGAAAGCTGAAGTTCAAGCTTTCAAAGTTCAAGCTCCGTACACCCCAGCTGAATCTGAGGTTTAACCTCAGAGCACCCTTGATCTTTTATCAGACACCCAAAGTCTTACCAGTAAAATCTAGAAGAGCCATTGGGGTGTTCTGCATGTTGCTAGGAGCCTAATTCATTTTAATTCAATTGCAAATTTGCCTCAAAAAGCTTAAGTCGTTCTCATCCCTCCAAGCCGGGACTGTCCTTCTCCCTCCACGTCGGGAATCGCTTCTACGCCGCATGTGTTGTGTTCGAGGGACTGTTTGTGAACAGCGTCCTCTTTCAAAAAGCTCATGCAGATGCAACAGATAGATGAAATATGAATATCTAGTAATGGAAAAAGAGATATTGAATGCGGTTACATGCGGTCTATAAGATCGAAGTCTCACTATATCAAACCATTAATGGTCTTAACTATTAAGGGCCGAGCTACATGCTCTGTATCCTAGCGTCATCCGGATCACACCCTTGATTTATCTTGGGCTGTGAAGCCATAGCACGATCGCACTGTCACGAGTCATTCGGGTGCAAAGTACTCTATTGGACGCGAAGCTGTGTCTTGGTTACCCCTGTAGCTGCGTTGCCTTCAGCTTTAAGGTTGCATCCCACTTCGTACGATAAGCCTTTACTCCACACGAAGTTGTACCAACACTTATTTGTCGAATAAGTCCGGTAACGCTGAACCGTTACCGGTTCTCGTGAGCTCTCTGATTTATGACAACACGGGGATTCTCTACAATACTGAAATGGTCTTGAAGTTAAGGGCCGGGGATACCAGAGCTGTAGCCAGTTATTGGCACCATCATGCCGCGATCTGTGAAGGGTTGAAGCGCTTATTCCAGCAAAAAATGTTCTGGCAACGCTGGTGTTTATGGAACCGGTTCACCCTCGGCCTTTTTTTCCTGAGAAAAGATACAGGATAGGAAGATCAATCTTGTCCCGAGCTCGTGACTCCATGTGTAGCCGTACAGCCGTCTCTACGGGATTTATTGCAAAACTTGGGGTGTTGTTTCAACCTCGACATCCATATCAAGCTATGTACTTTGTAAAGTGAAGGATACATCGAAGCGCTATCCGGACATTGACTTCGCTGATGCTAGCTTCCAACACTATGAGCTGGGGAATGAATGTGCCTTCTTCCCTTTCACGACATGATTAATCTTTAAATCTCGTTGTGAGTCTTACACTTGCAGATGGGTGAGTTTGATCTCATGGTCAGATCCAGCAAAATAGTAACTAGCTGAACGTCGAATGGATTTTGCAGCGGAAAATTGTGACTTTTTTAGCCTTCGAAAACAGGTGTAGAGCGCGCAATCCGTGCTGAGGAAAGGTGGAGCGCTGAATTCACATTTTCCTCAGTAAACGACAAAGCTTGTGGCACTTTGTGAGACAATTTCTTCTTCATCGAATTGGAGGTGACGGGTCAGAGGCAACGATTCGCATATCATTTAACCCTTGTTCTTCCCACTATAAGGTCGTTATCTGCGTAAAGCGCGAAATGATCGGGGGCACGTCGAGCCATTGGAATACGCTAGAGTGAAGAGCAGGCACTGTAAAGTACAGGGGGTGAATCTCTAAGCGCAGTGAGTGCTGGAATAGCGTTCAATGTCGTATAAAAAGACCAAACAGCTGCGAGTACACATTTTAGACTGGGAGTGGAACGAGGTCAACGGTGGATTTACACATTTCGCTTTTGTGTTTTGTGCAAAACAGACATGGATTTTAATGGTGTTAACAATCACTAATAAAGACGATGCAATCCCGTAAAGAAGAAATTTGTAGGCCTTGTTACTGTTAGCCACACGTCACTCAGTCCATATGGTTGTATTATGGACAACTGACCACAGAGATTCGTAGGCCTTGTTACTGTTAGCCACACGTCATTCAGTTCATAAAGTTGTTTTTTGGACAACTGACCACGCGTGAAACGATTATTTCAAGTATTGATCCCGAAGGTGTCCTGTGGCTGGTGCAGATAAGAATGCGAACGCTTGATCGCTTTTAGTATCGAGCACGTGGCACTTGAAGACGCGCAGAGTATATCACGTACGAAGGCTCTTATGATGCATGCCAGTCTTGACTGAAGTTCAAGCGGTCCGGGCTACAATGTGCGTCCGTGTTAAAAAGCGCATCAGCGTATGGTAAAATACGCCATGCGATGTAGCCATAGTAAAGTGTCAATTTGAACGTCAAAATTGTTCGATATACGTGGTTTTATTCTACCAGTCTCTCAAATTTCTATATACCACGGTCTCTCAAGTTTCCATATATCACTGGTTCTCAAGGTGCTATATACGATAAGATTCTGATGCACGGGCAAATGCAGTGATTAGTAACACTTAGCTCACTTATCCTAGGTACGAGCCTGCACGTAATCGCAAAGTGTTGTGTAGCAACTGTGCAGACTTTGAATATACGCTTCTATTATTTTACCCATGCGATTATAGGGTTTTCGGATATTGTTATCCAATATCAACTTATTTTCAGTGTGAGCACTAAACTTAAGACCCGGTGGCGTGGGTCGAATGGTCAATACTTCTTTACCTTACGCTGTGTGGCGCGGGTTCGAGCCTCTCAGCGGACAAAATCGTTATCGTACCAGACATGCAAGAAATGTCGGCTGCATGCAAAATATTACCAACAACAGCCAATAATGACTTCTAGATGGCAACTCGTACAAGAAAAACAAGAATCAAAATCAAGAATAAAAATACCCCAGCGGAAAAAAGCAATGTCATATCTTAGTCAGCCGAGTAGTAAAGCCGTGTAATAAAATAATACATAGCAACTTTCACCTGAGCGCCAAACTTACGAAAGAATAACAAATGTAATTATTGGAGATTTATCTAGAGAACACTATCACGTCTTCATGTGGAGGAAAATCTAGAACCGCGTTTTGTAGACTGGCGATTTGGATACGCGGGTACAGTTACAGGAGGTATTTCGGTCTCAGTCGTGAGCACAGAGAGATCTCTGTCGACAAAATTTTCGCCAGTATCGGAGCTAGCTGACTGTGAGCTGACGGTTGTTTTGGGCACATCGCGAACCACTTTGGCACCCAAAGACGACGCAAAGCCGCTGTACTCAGACAAATTCAAATCCACGTTGGAATTGGAGTAGGCCGTGATTTTCATTTGGGGTGGCATGAACCCCGTAGAAGAATGCATCAGGGATCCGAACTGCGAGGACCCGCGAACCTTCAGTTGTCGCCGAATAGGCGAATACGATGTGCTTAGTCTAATGGTTGAGCTGTTGCGCAGTGGACTTCCAACAGGAGTGCTCGTTCGCGACGAATTGCAAGCGCCCAAGCAGCCAGTGATAAGCACCATGTCGTCCGAATACTTTATCAATCCAGAGAACATGCGGCTGCGGCGCAACTGGCGTTGATTGTTAAATCCTTGTATCATTGTAACTTGGTGGTACATCTGTTGCGTCTCGTTTAAGTGCAGCAAGTAGTCGGCCACGTTGACGTTTGGAGGACACAAAAAGCCAAGCTCCAGAAAATACGTGATTAGAGATTCTCCTGTACCGTGAAACAACACTTCACCATTCTCTAAGATTAGCACATCTTCGTAGTATGCACACTTTTTAGGCACAACTTGAAGTGCTGACAGAACGAACTCTACTTCAATTAATGGGGTACCGTCTGACCTCTTGTGAGTGCGGCAGACTTCGTCAATCAGCAACGTACGGCGGAATTTTCCAAAACCAAGGCCTAGTTGCTGAACAGCAACACCTGGGTAATGGAAAGATAGCGAGCGTGCAATTGTCCATGTCGCTCGCTTTTCTTCATACGTGCCAGAGGTGAAGAAGCCGTCCTCAAAATTTGCAAAGTTTAGGTCGCAGAAGTCCCGAGCAAAATTTAGCAGCTCCTTTCTTGGCATAGTCTTTGACAAACTGCGGCCGCGACGTTGAACATAAGAAACGAACTGAGGAAGCCATGTTTTGACAAGACGCCGACGCTTCATGTTGTACAAAGCAGACCCCATTCCAGTACGTTGTGTAGCTGTCAAAGCCAGTCTTTCTTCCACACTCGAATTATATAGGCTGCGCTTGGTCCCTTCAGTACCGACAACGGCAGAAATAGTGATGAAATCCAAATTGTTTTCAGCATTTTCATGTGAATCTGTCTTCACTGTCGTACTCGTCTCGGCTGTCGATGAACTCTTTACTGTTATCGTCTGCACCTCAATCGCACTAGTCAATTTACCACCGAAGGTGATAAACTTTTCCTTGTCTTCTGTGGTGCAAGATGCCTCGGTCTTAGCTGTAACGTCAACAGCATTATCCTGGTTTGACTTGCGATCAGTCGAAAAGCTAATCAATTTCACATTCGACTTGGCGGTGTTCGCGCTTGGCGTACTCTCAACCTCGCCAGTAAAACCAGAAGTATCTGTCTTCACCTCGGTGTGCCTATCACCTGACAATATATTTGTCCTTGTCATTGTTTCAACATCAATTGTACGCATCTTCCCACCACTTGATCTAGCTACCGCGGGGATCGTTTTGCGAATTGTTTTGATGTTTTTGCTACTATTCGCCTTCGTCGTGCTAAACATATCGGTCTTGATTTTGGCGATAACAGCGCCATCCTTATCAAAAGTATTCGTTGTTTCATTACCAATCGACCCTACAGTAAAGGTATTGATCTCGCCAGTCTGAATATCATCATCAAACAGCTCATCACAATTTAGAAGCGCAACCAAGGGTTTAGCATCAACGCCAACCCGGTTCGCTTTATCGCACGAAACAATCACATCTTTTTGATCCATCAGGTGTTTTGACTTTCGGTGCCTCTTTGACTTGGACTTCTTGTCCTTCACCACATCATCTTCCTCTACGATCACAGTCGTATCCGTTGTGGTCCTTTCGGTCGTCACCTCAGGCTTATCGGTCACTTCGATTGTCTCCGTGATCACTTCTGTCGCCTCGGTCACTTCTTCCGTTGTC